ACCACATACATCAGTATGTATAAGGTCAAGCGTACTTGTACATCTTTCAGGCTTATCGTTAAATGGCCTCTTTGTCATCTTACCACTCATCTGAGGCTTCTTGTCTTTCCTTAATGCAGCTGGTTTCAGATGAGGATAAAGAATCCAGCAAGTCTCTTTCAAATGTCTGTCACCTCTACAATGAGAGCACTTAAGATGCCTCTTGTCTGAATATTTGTCCCCTTTTGGGTTGAAAAAATCAAGGCTGAATGCTCAACAAGTTGTACTTGGGTGTCAACTTGCATTTTTTTCCTTCTAACCTCTTCATTCCTTACAAGATAGTAAACATGATGTAAATCTGGAATTTCATCCCTTCCCAAAATTTGGGATCTTATGCTTTCTTATATGGGATCTAGGCCATCCAAAAACTTAAAAGCTCTACCTTCTTCAATTTGTTTATCATGCCTCTCCTTATCTCTTGTATTTTCCCAATCAAGTACAAGATGATGGTCAAGTTCTTCCCATAGTCCTAGAGTTGCAAAGTAGGTTGCAACAGACATATCTCCTTGTCTCAATGCAACAATATATTGGGTTAGCCTATAAATTCTTGCATTGTTCTTTCTCTGTCCATAGGTTTTAGACACCTTCTCCCAAATCTTAGAGGTAGTAGGGAAGTGCTGAACAGTCCTAGCCATTCTTGGAGTCATTGAGGCAAGCAGCCAGGATATAACAATAGCATTTTCCTTATGCCAAATTGAGTATTCAACATCATCCTCTTTGGCTGAAACAGACCATTCTCTGAAGTTGTATTCATCTAATAACACACTGGTGATCTGCAAGCTATGCAGATTTGGGTTTTCTAGGTTTGAAGACCTTCCACCAATCTTATTGTCTTTAGAAGACACTTCGCCTAATGTTGAGGACATTCCTTTTCTTATAGAAACCACAGCTGAAATCTCAACGCAAGGAACTAGATTTCAGACTTACCGGAGCTGTTACAAGGCTTAAGAAACACCCTCTATGACTGCACTGAAGCACTTCTGGGCTAAAAGACAACACCACTTGTGGCGGAGTAAATTCTGGATTGTGAACAACACCACCTTTATACTGAAACCAGCACCCCTTCTGGACTGAAACCAGCACTCCTTCTGGACTAAAACCAGCACCCCTTCTGACTGATAACACCACTTCTGGACTGAAACCAGCACCCCTTCTAGAGGTCGAAGATAACACCACTCACGACTGATAACACCACTTCTAGACTAAAACCAGCATCCCTTCTGGAGGTCGAACCTGGACTTGACCACCCCTACGGTCTATTCAATCACCCAGACACGAACTAGGACTGTCTACTCAGTCCTTCCACCTAGATCTGTTCTATACAGATCTCTCTAGCAGTCGAATGGCTATTCACTACTACAGAACCACTAGTGGGGCATAAGTTTCTGAGAAAAAACTTCCCTTGGGCCCTACAGCCAAGAGAAACCCTAGATACAGACCTTGCTGTTGCCTACTGTCAGTCCTAGGGTTTCTTCACTGTAGCAGAAATAAGAGAGAATGAAAAGAGATTAGAGAAGAGGAAAAAAAGAAAAAGGAAGCAAGTTGTAACAAGTCAGGCCAAATGGTGCTTTGATACCATGTTAGTTGGAGAACAGCAGTAGAAGAGGAAGAAGAAGAGAAGAGAACAGGTCTGAGAATGGGTGGCAATAGTGTTCTCAGCCAACCCTAGAAAGCTAACTTATATATTCACAATAATAGATTACACAAAAGGACTAGAATGCCCCTGATTAGTGATGGGACACCTAGGAATAATAAAGAAAGATAAAACAAGATTAGGCCCAATAACTAAAGGCCCATAATAAACTAAGAAACGTAAACATAAAAGGTAAACTAAGCCCACAAACACTTAACCACTCGAACCAACACCTTGCTATGCAGTTTGAGGTGAAAGATCTGGGACARCTACATTATTTCCTTGGTATTGAGGTTGCCCGCTCAAAAAAGGGCATCTTCATTTCCCAAAGGAAGTATGTCCTAGATCTCTTACAGGACACGGGAAAGTTAAGAGCAAAGCCTGTAGATTCCCCTATTGAGGAAAACCATCGGCTTGGTGATTGTATTGGAGAACTAGTGATAGATGTCAAGAAGTTTCAAAGATTGGTAGGAAGACTTCTCTACCTATCAATGACTCGACTAGATATAGCTTATGTTGTTGGTGTCCTTAGTCAGTTTATGCATGCACCAACATCCTCCCATTTAGAGGCAAATGAGAGAGTACTTAGATATCTAAAGAAATATCCAAGAACTGGGTTACTTTTCAAGAAACARGGTCATATGAAAGTGGAAGTCTACACAGATGCAGATTGGGCTGGAGCAGTTGATGATAGGAAATCAACTAATGGATATTGTACCTTTGTTGGTGGAAACTTGGTCACTTAGAGAAGCAAAAAACAAAGTGCAGTGGCCAGATCCAGTGCTGAGGCCGAGTATAAGGCCCTGGCACATGGAGTTGCTGAAGTACTTTGGGTAAAAACTTTGATTGGAGAGTTGGGACTCTCTGCTGATGGACAAATGTCTCTCTATTGTGACAATAAGGCAGCTATTAATATTGTAGCCAATGCAGTTCTTCATGACAAGACCAAGCATATTGAAGTTGACAAGCATTTCATAAGGGAAAAACTTGAAAAGGGGGAAATTTGTACTCCTTACATTAGTTCCAAGGAACAACTACCTGATGTCCTTACAAAGGGTCTTCACTATTTGCGACATTATGAATTGTGTGACAAGTTGGGCATGATTAACATATATGCTCCAACTTGAGGGGGAGTGTGGTAACATGCAACGGCCTAGTAGGGGCATTTCTAGCTTTTCCTATGTCATTTGTTATAAGTTGTTTTCCTAAGTATAAATACTAACTTAGGCGTCGCCAGCCACATATTGAATAGAATTCTTTTTCTTCTTCTCTCTTTCTCCTTTCTTCCTCCTTTTCTCTCTCTTTCAGTACTGTCAAACTACAGATGTCTGTAGAGAAGATGGGCCGAATGCTCATAGACTGTCATTTCATGTTATGTTATGTTTCTCTCTGTTGTGGGCCTTATTCTGGGCCCATACTCTGTAATGTTATGTTTTTGTATTTTCCTGCCTACTCAAGGGCCTCTCTATAATTTGTCAAAGATTAACTTATTAATAAGATGTTTAGAGTGTTAGAGAGTGGTTATGTTCGAACCTCTTATTCTCTAACACTCATTGCCACCAGCTCTCTCTTCT